GAATATCACGCTCCAAGCAGCCTGCATATGCAGGTGGTTTGCTAGGGTAGCTGAAACTTGCGGCTCGTTCCCGCGGACTCCCTTGGGGAGTGCAATCTCGGTGACGCCGCAATCGTGTTGCATTTCATGTGTTTTCTTGTTTGTGCACGTCATATTATCCGCGTGTTTAGCTGGCATATTGAACTGTTCTTGCATATGGCTTCAGTTATCGTTAGATTTGGCTGGTGAGCTTGTAACCGTGTAAATGTTTCATAAATGTCCACGTGTCGTCGCGTTACGGTTCTGAACTTCGTCCGTGTGTTCCATGAGCAGGGCTCTCTCGAGACGCTGCGGATGATCGGTCAGTACCTTAAATCACTTCGATAATCACTACTACACCCGAGACAATCGTCCTATCTGCTTCGTGTGTGGCATCGCTGGCCACATTGCACACTTCTGCCACCGCCGTCCCACACCTGCGCACGGATACTTTGGAGCTCTTGCCTACGCACCACAGCAGACCACCACGTCTGCATATGAACAGAGGCACTCCGACTCGGATCGTCACCCATCGACTGCTCGTTTCCCATCACCTCGTCGCCGATCGCCATCGCCTATGCGTCGTCGACCACCTCCTGAGGAGGGAAACTAATCAGTGCAATTCCGGAGGCAAGAACTGCAACTTGTGCGCAATTCCCAAGGCCTCCATTCTCGCCGAAAAATGTTGTTGATGTCGATGTTGAGGGAGTCGCCACATTAGCGTTAATTGATACCGGGGCCGCCGTTTCTGTGATGAACGCAAAATTTTGTAGGAAACTGAAGAAAGGGACCACATCTCTCAGTGGCATGGTGCTGTCTACGGCTAGCGCGCAACGCATTCATCCCTCGGCTGTGTGTACGGCGCGCTTCGTCATCCGAGACGTTTTGTACGTCGTACAGTTTTTTGTTGTACCATCTTGCTGTCATGACCTTATCCTGGGTTGGTATTTCTTATGACGTCATGAAGCTATCATCGATTGTTCCCGTGCCGAAGTGTCTCTTGTGCCAACATGTGAACTTCCACCACCCGACCGCTCTCCTCTGCTATGCAAAGTCATCGCTGACGACGACATCACCTTGCCTCCTGAAGCTTCGGTCCCTAGTAGCCTTTCATGCGTGGCGCAACTTACGGCACGGTAGTGTTTACGCCATCTCCGGTTTTTACGGAGCGCAAGGGCATCGCTCTCCCGTTTGCCGTTCTTACATTTGCGTCTGGTTTAACCGTAATGCTGGTTACCAAACACTGCAACTACCCCATTGGCTTACTTCGTGGTGAAACGTTAGGATATGTGCAACCTGTCGACCATATCGATGATATTATTCTTCCCGACGAAACGCCATGTCACATTGCTGCGTTCACTCATGCGTCTGAGCCATCAAGTTCGTCAGCCTTCGACATTGCTATTGACGCATGACCGTCGCGTTACGGTCTGAACTTCGTCCGTGTGTTCCATGAGCAGGGCTCTCTTTCGAGACGCTGCGGATGATCGGTCAGTACCTTAAATCACTTCTGATAATCACTACTATTTTAATCAGCAAAGCAACAGAGTTGATTATGAGGAATGCCGTAGTGGGACCTACGCATTTATAACGACCATCCAGGGTTGTTTAAAAAAAAGCAGCAGTAAACTGATTCGAGAAAGAACTTTTGTTGTAGAAGGATACAGAAATGCCGTGCGCGTAAATAAAAATACGCGGCTATTCTACGAGGTCATTCATTTGAACCAAGCTCTCCGATTAGGCTGTAGTTTTGTTACGAATTCTCCAATTTCAATATGATACTTATTAATAAAAAGAATAAAAATTTAACCACCCATCGTAATTACACATCTGCTAAACAGGAAGAAAGACTACATAATGAACAATAAAAAAACGCGACATTTCGTCAATTTCATTCCAAAGGGATGCCGGGCGTGCGCAAAAGCACATGCGCCAAGGCGAAGTGGCATAGCCCACCCACGAGAGCATAGAGTGATCGGTTTCGGCTTCAACATAACATGGGTGAATCGGGCGTTGTCAACCTCCGTCGTTACTGGCTCACACAAATGCTTCAATGCACTAACCATTCATCATTGTACAGTACTTCACGGCTGTCAATATGTCTTATTATTTTTTGTTTGCTGCATATCACACACAAAAAAGACCTCAAAAAGTTGACGGGTTATGAAATTTTTATTCTTTAATTTTTTAGCAAACTACGCTGAATTAGCCTACCTTATCAGGCCAATAAAAAAAGTCAGCTTCTTAAGAGTCCCACCGTAGAACTCCGCTTCATTGAAAGGCGGGTGCTTTAATTCGAAGTTGAACCGGTGTCCTTGAGTCTAGCAACGTGGAATCTTTCTGTATGTGAGAACTTCAGAAAACGTTCACTAAGCATGTTGAACCCTGTTAGAACTTAAACTGTTATGCACCTCTTTCATTTTCCTTGCTGCCTGTCCTGCGCTCTTCATAATATTGAAACCTCCAAGCTTTCGATCCTCCTGGCTTGAGTAAATGTGTAGGTAATATACATGTATAAAAAAACTCCCAAGCATTTCCCCGAGGGTGAACATGGTTAAGTGCGAACGCACGGGGTGATGCTATGAGGGGTATTTAATAATTCGCACTATTATATTTATTAATCACACTATGGTGGCTTTATGGTGTAATGGTTCCTGGGATTCGCAATTTGATCACACGGGGGAGTTTACGTTAACTCACTGGCGAATGCCAACGGATTTTAACTTTACTCTCCCTCATAGCATCACCCCGTGCATTCGCACTTAACCATGTTCACCCTCGGGGAAATGCTTGGGAGTTTTATTACTGATGATGATGATTAAAGTGTAATTAATGAATTTAGGTGGTGTTTGTCATGAAGCATTTGTACACAGATACATTATATACGAAGCCCCGCCGCGGTGGTCTAGTGGCTAAGGTACTCGGCTGCTGACCCGCAGGGCGCGGGTTCGAATCCCGGCTGCGGCGGCTGCATTTCCGATGGAGGAGGAAATGTTGTAGGCCCGTGTGCTCAGATTTGGGTGCACGTTAAAGAACCCCAGGTGGTCTAAATTTCCGGAGCCCTCCACTACGGCGTCTCTCATAATCATATAGTGGTTTTGGGACGTTAAACCCCACATATCAATCAATCAATCAAATCATTATCTACGAAGCAATATTTATTTACACTTCACGAGTTTCGTACGATGCAATAAATGCACACATCGCGAGCGCGTCACACACACACACAAACTACACTACAAATCTATGTTCTCGGGGACAGTCTCGATGTCATCCGCGTCGTCTCCCCCCTGGGCGTGCTCACCTTCACAAACGGCCGCATCATCGTGATCGAAGACACCTAGCCGACTCCAGTCGAGGCGCACGCTGCTAGCGACATAAAACGGCGCATGCTCCAGGTGCTTCAACCACGCCAAGATGTTACCGCGCTTCACCAGTCCGTGCCTGTACGTAGCCGGACTCACCAGCCTCCGCTTCACGTGCACGTCTATCGCAACGTCCTCAAGAACCAGCCGCGGAAGACACTCCACCACGCTCGGAACGTCGATGGGCACGTTCACGATCTGTCCCTTAATGCCGTACTGACCGTTGCCCCGCGTGAGCCACCTGATGCTCATGAAGGGGAGTCCAGGCGAAATGAGGCGCTCTTCCACCAGGTTCAGATCGGGGAGGTCCGCGGGACGAAGCGGGTACGCGTAGCCGTGGCTCTTGCTCAACGGCAGAACCCGCCCGGCCAGCAGGGACTCTCGGCAAGACGCACACACCCGGAACGCACCGAAGGGAGCCAGCCGGGGGTCTTGCGCATCCATGTCGTCGCATCGGTGTTCGCCCGACCGTCTTCCGAACTCATTCCAAAGAACCCGCAACGCGTTCAACCTGTTGGTCTCGTTCCTCTCGCCGGAAATGCAGCTCAGGTTGTTATCGAACCACAGCCGGTCACACACGGCGCAGCTGTGACCGAAGCTGCGATCCACAAAGTCGCGTTTGAAACGCGCGTCCGGACGAGCAAAGTCCAGGGCTCGCACCCTCTCCCGCGCGGCACGTTCACTGGCTTGAACGGCTTCGGGAACGTCCACTCGCCGTTGACAATTGTGAGTGGCGTCTTGACGCCGGCCTTCATCGCCCTTCTCCACCTGACGCTTGCGTTGTCGTTCCGCTTCTTGGGCCGCGTTCGCGGCTCGATGCTGACGCCTCATCTCGGCCTTGCGAGCGCGCAGTTCACCTTCGCTGCACGCTTCGCCCGCTTGTCCGCGGCCTCGCAAGCGCGAAGTTCGGCATCTTCTGCACGCTTCGCCCGCTTGTCCTCGGCCTCGCGAGCGCGCCGTTCGGCATCCGCTGCACGCTTCGCCCGCTTGCACTCGGGTCTCACGAGCCCTTCGCAGAGGCGCCTTGTCTTCCAACGTCGGCGAAACCACCACGGTACCGTCACCTCCAACGACGGGTGCAGTGCTGGCATTCGGTTGTACTGCATTTGTTGTTGATGGTAGCGTTGCCTCCGGCACATCGATCGCACGACTCGCTCTCTACGGGAGACTGAGAGAGAAGGCGGGCGCGCGAGAGAGAGGGGTGCGCGCTAAGCTGCAGCGAGCGAGGAGAGCGGAGGAGCGAGCGAAAGGGGAGGGGGACGCGCGCAGCGGCGTTAAAGATATAAGGCGGGTTACTGACACCGATATCAGCATCGCGTCCGTGGCTTATTCGGTAGAGCGTCGCGCTGCGGCCCGCCAAGTCCTCTTTCTTTTAAAGATAGAGAGAAGACTGCGGATGCCGCCGACGGCGGTGGATGGTTTGGGGTCGCTTATAAAGTGTATTCACACTTAAAAATACTTAAATGGCATTTTCAACTGAATCTGTCTGCATCTTCTTAAAATCACCCTGTGTGTCCTTCATAAGCGAGCATACACTTTTGAGCCATACATTTTCACAGTGTATATGTTATACCAAAGCAGTTCTTTCCCGACGGAAATGGTATAGTATATCAAGGGTGCATTCCTTTCATGCCTGCATGAATTTTAGTATTGTTTATGACATAGTTTTCATTTACAGTATTGCTTATTTGTATTGAAGATTCTCACTGATACATCTTTTGGCAGTACTTGCAGTGCTCAATCCACTGTAGAAAACGATGCCAGTGAACCATGTGCTGCTGGTTTTCCTGAAAGTTCAGTCAGTGCCCATTTACGAAGGTCAACCAAACAATATACACGTGGGCTCATGCTTCGGATAGCTACCCAGCTCCCAATATCCTCGAGTCGTCCCCAACATTGGGTAAGAATGAAGTGCCTTACATGCTATGGCACTGATACAGTCAGAGCGAAAGCAATGCCTTATACAAAGAGTTCTAGCTCATGAGTCGCCCAATTGGCGTTTTCACTTTGCTGCGGAAGCGTACTTCACTACACTGAACACGAGGAACTTATCGGTTAAAGAAAACTAAGTTTCTACGCATTTCCAGTTAAAGGGCTCATGAAGTACCCTGGGCTTGTTGATGAAACACATTCTGCGCAAAGAAGACCCGGCCACAAACTGTTGAGCCAAATTTTGCAGCCACGCGCATCGCATAAAGGCTACAAGCGGAGCTTGAATTTGCTGTTTCTTCAGGTGACCTCTTTTTAAACACAAGCCGGCTCTCATTTTCATTGGTGGGTGGATGTCTGTCATCTAAAATTGCGAAATATATTGGCCATAGGCGGAATAAATCAAACACGGTATTTGGATCAGATTTGCTCGTTCTTGTTGTCACTGTGCATAAGAGTGAATGTAAGTAAATAAACAGTCTGAAACATAGCAACACGTCATTGCGAGTTCTCAGAAAGATGACTCCCGTCTAGTAGAGGTCAGCTGCAGTCTGCTGAGCTTAGGGCACGTCCCCTATTAGGCCTGAAAGATCACGTCGAGATAACCTGCGTCTATTGTGCACTAAATGAACTTGTTTCACTCACTCACCCAATCGGTTAGGTCGTCGCTTGCACTGTGAGACAGATCTGCAGGGCAGACCACCGAAATCAGGTATAAAGGAAAAAAAAAACAAAGGCGTTCTTAAGCTTTGCCTTTGAGAGTTGGGCGCTATACCGATATCCTTTCGCAATTGCGTACTTCAAAAAGGAGTTTTATAATATCGTTTCGAAGCGCTTTGCGTAGCGGGTGCCATATTAGATTTAGAATAGCGTTTGCCCTGCTGCAAACTGCAACTCATGATCGCAGCGAATTCGTAGCCTCGAATTCAGTGTTTGCGGGCCACATGTGGGCCGCGACCACCGCACGCTATTTCAAAATTTCTGCGCGCGGGCCTTGAATGCGAACACCAACTCGCATTACAACGCATGCGCAGTGGCAGCAACCACACTGCAAGGGCTCGTGGTGCGCTATTTTAAATCTCCTTAAATACTCAGCGGATGATATCTTTTCGAACTTGCTATGCACCCACTACGCGGCCTTAAGGGAATAGGCACATTCATGTTCAGGCTTTCTGTAGTGAGTGGCTCGCTTTATACAATGAAGTCGCTATGATAATCGTATGTTCCTTCGCTTCATTGCAATGTACACTTTCAGCACACCTAAATACTGCAATATATTGCGTTGCATTGTGAATCATGAATACAGGACGTGCGTGTTTGCGACGCATGACAGTTGCTTTCACTGCATTTTCAAGCAGAAGTTATTTTCACGGTATTCACCAGCAGACACGTGGTTCTGTGGTAGAACACTCACATACCACGCTAGCGATCCGGATTTTCAAAGACGATAGTCTTTCTTGGAGACCTTCAACGCAAAAACTTTGGACTCTCTGTCTGTCTTTGCAGTAGTCGGTTTGTCCATGCTTAACGGTAACGGGTACTCTGAATGGCGCCAGACAATACCCCAAACGGCCGACCCTATCCACGGCGCCCACCAACGTTGTTCAAGATTCAGCGTTCATACTTGTGTGATTGTCAATTAAAAAGCAATTATTGCGCATATTTGAGGCGCCATAACAACACGTATATATATTCTGTATGGGCGTTTTTTACTGGAAAAGGCATACATAGGTAATTCTAAGGACCATAATGTTTATCACATTGCGCTGACCATTTAAAGGTTGAACTAAAACTTGGCAGATCCCAGGCACAGTGGAAATCCATGACACGCGAAGCATGAAGGAGAAATTTTGATATGTCCATTTAAAATCTGCGCACCTTTACGAGGTGGAGGTAAATGATGCAGTACATGAGTTCTGCTTCATGATTATCATGTTTGGATGTGTAGTTTACCTTCATGATCAGTTCACGTCACGTGATACCCAATTGAATATATGTGCACCAGCGAAACGGCGACGAGCACGCTATGACCGTGGTATGTTTTCATGTTCCTACATGACACGCGTGTCATGTAGGAACCAGTTTGCACCAGTCATATATTGCACCAGTCATATATTTCGTCATCTGTTGACGTCAAGTAACAACAAACTTGGTATAGGTGGAGCTAGAAAAATGGTCGCTGGCACATCATGACAGGCCCAAAATACTCCAATGTAGCGTTGACGCGCGCACACGCTATGCACAGCAACGCTATGTTAGCAAAACGCGAGCATTCTATAGTCTGACGCCAGGAGTGACCAGCGTCCGTCGGCGCGGCCCGAAGACCACCGGCGCGAAGTGCGACATGTTGCATTTCGCGCCGACGCGTTACCCAAACAACACTGCGTCTTCCTCTTTTTGTTATGGAGGGACGCCGGACGCGCCTAACGCGCTGGCGTTAAAGCAACGCAGCGCGGCGCGCGCCTGCGAGTACGTGGCAGGACCGGCGCCTCGCGTGGCAACGCCGGCGTGACCCGATGAAATGAACGCCAGCGAGCACGCGCACTGCATCACGTAGAAATGTATCCGCGCCTTGACTGTGGCATTTAGTCATGTTCTCTCATGACACGCATATCATGATTATCATGTTTGCACCAGTCACGTACCTTCGTCATCTATTGGCGTCACGTAATACCACAATTGCATATGTGAAGCTAGTAAAACAGCCGCGAGCGCATAATCAGTGGGGCATTTAGTCACGTTGTTACGTGACACGCAAGTCGTGATTATCATGTTTGGATGTGTCATTTACCTATGTCATCCATTCGCGTCGTGTAAGAACGAGTTTTGTGTATGTGAAGCTACTGAAACAGGCCTCGAGCGCATCATGAGCGTAGCATGTAGCCATGTTGCTACATGACACGTATGTCATGTTTGTCATGTTTGTACCAGTATCATACCTTCGTCATCAATTCATGTCCCGTCATACCAAATTTGGTATAAGTGAAGCTAGAAAAAAGGCCCACCCGCGCATCATGAGCGTGGCTTGTGGTCAAGTTGTTACATGACACGAATTTTATGATTATCATGTTTGCACCAGTATCATGTTTGCACCAGATGAAGATACCTTCATCATCCATTCACGTGCTTTAATACCAAATTTGGTATATGTGACCCTAGCGAAACGGCCACGAACGGATCACGAACGTGGCATGTAGTCATGTTGTTACATGACACGCTTGTCCTAATTTTCATGTTAGGGCTTGTCGCTTGTGTTCACCATGCACTCATGTCATACCATACCAGTTTTGCAACATGCCATGTGAACGAGATCACCGAAAGAGCTGCAGGACCATGAAATGTAAGTCATGACATTCATATCATACATATCATGATTTTCATGTTATGACTAGTCAGATATGTTCTCCATACAGTCAAGTTATGCTACACCAGGTTTGGTATTGATACCAATATTGTTATGGCCTGGAGAGCGAGAACTCGTAGGTGGTTAGATAGATAGATAGATACGTTGAAATTCACTGAAGTTCGCTAAGCAATGTTTCGAATTTAAAAGGCGAGTGTTTCAAACGCTTTGCTAAGACACGGTGGTGGCATGCACCTACCCTTCGCCTTGCGTAGTACACCTTATCACCTCTGAGACGGGCGCCACGTCTCAGAGCCACGCGCTTCGATTTCCTAGAAAACTGTCAGATAGCGCTCATGTCTCACGTGTTGCGTGACTTGATGCGCTCGTTCGCTTCCTCTGCACACTCCAGGCACTCTAAGACAGCGCCTTCAGAACACCATTCACCGATTTCTTGAGCAGAACATCAAATGAATGTTTTGTTCACTGTCTCCACACTCTAAACTATCGTCTTTCGACGACATTTGGAGATTAACATGCAGATACGGGGTCAATTTGTTTAATAATTATCTTATTAGCATTATTTTGAATTCTTAGTCTCAGACAAGATTATAATTTTTTGTTTACAACCGATGACGCCAACACCGCAATTTCTGCAAAACAAGCTTTGTAACGCTTTCGCGTTAAAAACAATGCACGAAATTGAATCACAGGTACAGATGAGTGCGAAGTAAAAAGTGCCACAGTTACGTCATTGTGTCTGAAGAGCGCGTTCTTTTCGCAAAATGGGGCTCATGCAGCGAGTGTAGTGACCTCCGTGCAGCCGTTAACTACAACCTAATCGTTCCGGCGAAAGCCAAAGGCGTACGATTCTGCCACACCATGAAGCCTGGGCGCAGGCGCAAAACCGTCTAACCCACCACCCCACCCTTCAATCCCTACAGGGCAAAGTAGGCGTGGGAGATGAGTGCATGAGCGCGCGTCGTGGCGTCACGACGAGCGGGGAGACGTGCTATGGTGAGATAGGGAGCCTTCATGTGCGCGCCGATGGAGGTGTGCACATGAAGGCTTCTTACAGTGAGCGCGTTCTTTGCGCCATCTCGGCGGTAACACTGAGAGCGCACACGGTGACAATTCCTCAAAAATCTGCACCGCCAGCTGTACGTGGTGTAGATAAATATCTTGTCGCTTGAATGTTGGCTCACGTGCACCTTCGGGGTTCAGTGACTAACGTCACTTTCTCAGGAGTGAGGGGATCAACGTTTGATTCTGTGTGCCAGAATGTCTTTTTCTGGATTATTTATTTTATCTTACGCTTCGGTATGTACGGGTACGTATTCATGTACAATCAGTGATTGCGACAACAGACACCAACGGCGAAAAGCAGTCGAGAGTGTCCAAATATATATAAAAAATGGCAGCATATCCACGGAGTGAATGATGGAGAGTGGGGCGAAGAATTCGTCCGTCCATTCGTTCTTGCTTCCGTCCGTCCATGCGTCTGTCAGTGTGACCGCCCATGCGTCCATCAGCCCGTCCGTGCGTGCGTCGGTTCGTGCGTCCGTCCCTGCGTTCGTCCATGCAGCCGCCCTTGCGTCCGTTCATGCGTCCATCCATGCATCTGTCTA